AAATCATACCACTGTAAATGAGGGGGAGTGTGGAGTGGAGACCCAAAGCCCATCTGTAGGCAACTGGACATCCTCTTACAGAAGGGTCACGGGGAGGAGACGAGCCAGTCAGGGTGCAGTGTAGCAACAATGAAACATACAACTTTCCTCTGGTTCTTAAATGCTTCCTCCCCCCTACTCCCCACTATCCTGATCCCAGTTCTACCTTACAAATCCTGCTATACCAGAGCATGTACACTGGTACAGATAGGAACAAGAAACACAGGAACTACAGGACAGATAAACCCCTCAGGACCAATAATGAGAGTAGTGATACCAGGAGGGTAAGGGGAAGCTGGGGAAGAAAGGGGGAACCAATCAAACTGATCTACATATAACCTCCTCCCTGGGGGATGGACAACAGAAAAATGGGTGAAGGGAGACATCAGATAGGGTAAGACATGAAAAAATAATAATCATTTATAAATTATCAAGGTTTTGTGAGGGATGGAGGGTAGGGAAGGGAGGTGAAAAAATGAGGAGCTGATACCAAAGACTCAAGTAGAAAGAAAATGTTTTGAGAATAGTGATGGCAACAAATGTGCAAATGTGCTTGACACAATGGATGTATGTATTGATTGTGATAAAAATTATACGAGCCCCCAATAAAGTGATTTTTTTTTTAAAAAAGGAAAAGAAATCATTCTCAAGTAAAAAAAAAAAAAAGATATAACATGTGGGGTCTTAGAGGCTTGAAGTTAAACAAGCAGAGAAGCAACGAGCCCACGTGGAAGTAGCACACCAGCCTGTGTGATCATGAGGGGTTGTCAAGATTGGGTAACAGGTATCAGAAGACCCAAAAGAAACAAATGAAATCCACATTGTTGATAACAAAGGGGATGGGAGCAGGGACCCAAAACCCATCTACAGACAATGGGACAGCCTCTCACAGAAGGGTCACAAGGAAGGAATGCGTCAACCAAGGCACAGTAAAGCACCGATGAAACCACAATATTCCTCTGGTTCCTTGAGGCTTCCTCACCCCTCACTATCATGACCCCAGTCCTGACTTTCACTGTGGGCTAGACTGGAGCATACACACAGGTACAAATAAAAGATAAGAGGTCATGACACACAGAACCCAGAACATAAGTGGGAGTAGTGATTCCAGGAAGGTAGGGGGAAGGTAAACAGAGGAGGGGAGGAAGGGGCAACTGATCACCATGATTGGTACATACCCTCTCCCCACGCCTCAAGGGGGATGAACAACAGAAACCATGGGAGAAAGGAGATAGCTGTAGGTGTAAGGTATGAAAATAATAATAATTTATAATTTGTCAAGGTATCACGAGGGAGGGAGGGGAAAAAAGAGGAGCTGATACCAAAGGCTCAAATAGAAAGTAAATGTTTAGAAAACAATGATGGCAACATATGTCCAAATATGCTTGATACATTTGATGTATGGATTGTTATGAGAGCTGTAAGAACCCTCAGTAAAATGACCTTTTAATTAAAAAAAAAAAAAAGATTGGCCAAATTGAACTTGGGGTGCTCAGATCCTAAGAAAGATTTGGAGCTTCATTGTCCTCTTAGGATTGGGGAACTGCTGACAATTCTAATGCCAAAGTAAAAGTACTTATTGTATATACTTGTGTATAAGCCAAAATTTTCAGCACATTTTTACTCTGGTTTTGTGGTAAAATTAGGTGCCTTGACTGATATTCTGGTCGGTTTATACTCGAGTATATATGGTAAGTCATTTATTTCTCTCTCTCTCTCTCTCTCTCTCTCTCTCTCTCTCTCTCTCTGTACATGGGCACAGACAGATGCATTTCTTGGATCTCTATTTAAATTCAGGGAAGTGAAGATGTATAGAAATAGAATTCAGCCTTATTGGACCTATTGAATGTGGAAGAGTGCTTAAGACTATGGCCCTGAGCTGCTCTTTAACCAGGAAATTGAAAATATCCCCCGAAGTCACCTTTAAATTAAGTAACCATGTAGCCTGAGGAGTAAAGTTTGTCACCTTTGGGTAATACATTACTACAAATCTTTCTTATCTGTGACCAACATGTCAAACATAGGCAGATAAGGTTGGGAACAGGGCAGAGAGATGAAGTAAATAGAGTGACGCTGGAACACAAATACTGAGAACTTTGACATAATGTAGAAATCTTAAGCAATGTCACTCACTAGTATGCCTTGCAAATATGAAATTGGAATGGGCTTTTCTATGCACAGTTACACCAAATATTAGTATAGAAGAAATTTTGGACACAATCTGTACATAGCATTATTTCTTCCTGGCTTATTATACAACTGGTCATGAACTTGAAGTACAGAATCACATGATGGAGAAAATCAATAAGCAGATCAGATTTCCTTCTCTTCCCTGGACAGAGAGAATGTTGAAGCAAGATTTGGGAAGGTGTATCATCTCCTGCTCACCAACATCATTACAAAAAGACTATAGCATTGGTTTCAAACCCTGGAGGATATCAATGTGGCATTCATAAAAAGGAGAATGATGTCTAAGAGATATATACAAACTGGAAACACCCCACCTTGTTTTACAAAATATTGTTGAAATCGTCCTAGTACTAATCACAACGATTTACCATTTAAAGTGTTGGTTTTAGGCAATGTGACACATGCTGCAACCCAATACTTGTAGGCAGACAGTGTACATCAGACACATGCTGGTATAAATTGCATGTTTAAAATAACGCTGTCAGTTATTGTCTTAAGGAGGCCTGGGGACATGACTGTTAAGTGCTTGTCTGCAAACTGAAGGTGACGTTTCAAACTCACGTAGGAGCCGCCTTGGGAGGAAGTCTTGATCTGTAACCTTAGATATTACAGTAGAGGACAGCGCGGGCAGTTCTACTCTGTTGAATGCGGTTACAATGAGTTGGACTTGAGTAGGCAGCATCTGACAACAACAAAATCATTGTCATTAGCCTCGCCAGAAGTTTGTTCACTGAACCACTCCAGGTGAAAATTATTGTGTCCCCTCCCCACTGAACTTAGGGAAATATCTAGTAGTCCTCATTGTAAAGCAGGAAAGAGGAATTATTCTCAGGGGGACAGGGAGTTTAATAAAGTGCTGGATAGTTATACATTGGAAATAAACCATTCAAATCTTTGGTTTCTATCACATTTGGTGGCAAATCATTTTCTCTTGGGATCCATTTTATCAAAAGATTAGTTCCTCACCTCAACTTTCCCTCGACACAGAAACGTACTCGGTGCAGACCTAAGCAGGACGATTGTTTGAGTGCCACTTGGAAACTGGGGACAGAGAACTTCACGATTCTGATTGGTCATGCTCAGGCATGGAATCCTGATGTGGCAATTGTGGAGAGGTTCCACACAGTTCTCCTTTAAAAAAAAAAAAAGCCATTCAAATAAAATGACTGTAACTTGCTGGCAGCCTCCGGCAGTGTACCTTCTAAACCATGCACTTCTCCGGAAATTCCAAGCGAGTGACTGGACATGACAGTTTCTAGAAGGTGATCAGTTTTGCCCAATGAAGGAGACCCACATTGGCCTCGCTTTGCTCCAGATCTCTTTGTGGGGCTGACGGAGACTTTACCAAATCTGCTTTCCAGTGACCAAGCCTTGCTTTCTCAGTCCTTCCCTCTCACAGGCCTAAAGGATGCGTCCCTTGCTGACAGACTTTCCTGCTCAGTCCTGCTTCCGTCCTCCTCTAGCAAGTTCTTTTAACTTGCCTCATCATCTGCTTTCAGAAGGACCCAAATGGCACAGCAAGACTTCAGGTATGCTATACATATCAGGTATTTCGGATAACCAAACATCTGAGAACTTCACGTACTCTGTGGTATTCAGTGTGACGTTCATGTCCCTGCTGGCATCTGGCTCTGTTAAACACTGACAAGACATTTCTCTTTTCTGAGGCTTCATTAAAAAATAGTCATAAACGAGAGGACCCTTGGGAAGATTTAGTTAAACATGTCGAGAAAACTGGTCAGAGTAGATGGCTCTTTTCCAGTAGGCCTTCACCCAAACAGGAAATAAGCAAGTGACGACAACAGAGGTATTTATAAAAATATATTTCACAAAGTAGGAAACAATACAGGAGTTTCTCTGAATACAATACATGGAGTAAATAAACAAGATTGCATTAAAGCAAAGTAGAAAATTAAAATGATCTGCATGTAAGACTAAAGTTGTATCATACATAGTCTACCCCTAAATGGCAGGTTTGCATTACAAATTGAATCTGCTCACATCTTCTAGTGCTGCTCCGTTTGGAAGTCTAAGACGTTCTGTGCATCACCATGAGGATCCAGGAGATAAAATGCTAAAAACATAAGCAGTCAAATTATATACAAATCAGTCTCTGCTCTAATACAGCGGGGACAACTTGAAGCATATTGATTGGGCTGGGCATTATGTGGGTACCTAAAAGTCTAGAGTTGAAATATTCACATGAACTAATAGACTTCCCGATGTTTGTGCTTATAGTAAAAACACCAAATACTAGAATTATGAACAAAATAGAAAACAGTTCAAAAGTTTCTCTGGGAAAATGTTGTTCCTGCCATCACCAATCACAATAACACTTCTACGCTAAAGAGATAGTTAGATCCCCTTTTGATTATATTGCCTGCCATACTCATCTCATCAAAATGTACATGTATTAAACATTCATTTTGTGTGTGTACATATATATATATATATATAAAACAATCTAAAAGATTAATGGATATAATTTAGGGTCTTTTTCCTTCCCCATATAGTCCCTTAATCTATTGATTACCAATCTTAATAAATAAAAGCATTAATGGACATCAATAAAATATTCATTTCGAGGATTAAACAAATAAATTCACGCACTAGCCATAGAACCATCTGTCTCTTCTATCATCCACTGTGTGACACAGCTGATCTGCGTGTCCTTGTGGAAGAAGATGAAGTGGAGGGAACGAGGAATCCTGCTTCTAAGAAGCAAGTCTGTTGGAAGGGGATTTCTCTTCTCTCCCCTAACCCCCCCCCCCACTGAGTTGGCAACCCCCACTCTGGAATGGATTACAAACATGTGAATATTTTAAGGCTCGACACAATATTTAAAGATACTCTTCAGTCTGTGGTGAGTGGGGCCAACGGTTATGTACAATGTGTGGTCACCGTACCGTATAATCTAGGAGGTTTTCCAAAACTCCCAAAAGTCATAATGTACAGCCGACCGAGTATTGCTTTAAACATTTGTGGTGGGATCCTTGTTGGCGAAGGGGAAAAAAAAACCACTTGCATTTTTAAAAAGCCTTGCAGAAGACACGTTATCAGCAGCAATTTCCTTGTAAGTCCTTTTTTTTTTTTCCTAAGAAAGCACCTTTTAATTTGGATTTTTCCTCTTTTGCAACCATTTCACTAAGGAGTAGCCAGGATCCCAATCTTTGTCTGTGGTGGTCAAGTAAATATCAAATACCCAAAGACTTCTAGACACTCCACATACTGTAATTCACACTCCACAAGATATATAACCTCCTAACATATACTTTTTATTTTATTATTATAACTTTTTTTGGTTCAACATGAAAATGTAGTTGAGTTTATAGATGATGGGTGCTAAACTTGCCTCTAAAACAGAGAGCCACGTTGGTTGTATCTAAGGGGGGGTGACCCTAGAATATTACAGAATGCTCAGTCCCACTGATTCCTTTGTCATCCACTGTCAAGTTTCTTTGTCACTTTCACCAACAGAGTAGAGTTCACCCAGTCTCTTAAAGCGGGGACCCCAGTCACTGAGGTAGTCAAAATTCTGGTCTGAGTCTGACGTGGTGGACTCCAGGGAGCTGAGGGAGCCAGCCACAGACCCCCGGCCTTCGTAACCATAAATTTGAATGGAGTCATATGGTGGGGCCGTGGGGTCATTATCTGCCTCATGGAGCCGTACATTAATAAATTCATCAACATCGACACCATTTGGAACTGGAGCGAGTCCTTGCCTTGGCATGAACTGTAGATCTGGTTTAATATCCTTACGGGGCAAAAATCCATTAATCCCATCAGGATTTTGCAAAGTTGCAATGTCAAAAGCCTCTGTGTCCTCCTCCCCTCCTCCTTCATCATCATAGCGAATGATGTTTTCCCGTACGTCTTCATCATCTTTGATAATTAATGGCTCATTTTTATGTCGTCGCAGAGTTACAAACAGCACCACGATGACTGTGGGGGAAAATATGAAATCGTGATTAGTTAAAGCGGCATACAATTTCACCAGCAGCACGCTGTGCACATTAACAGCCAGAGGGTCATTAAAAAAAACACAACAAAAACACACATGAGCATACAGCTTTAATAACATTTAGTGAGGAATTACACTGAACACATTTCACACTGAAGGGGGTGTATTGGATTTTGAGTGAATACCATTCCCAAAGGGAAGGTGCTTCTGTTTATTAAATGGCCATGGGGCTGAGTTAATACATTTGCATGTCCTTATGGTACAAATGGCACTAACTACAGGAGTGGATTCTGGGCTGAATGACACAGAATGGAAAAGAGAAAAATAACAGGATCTCAACATGCTGTGTATCTTGAGGGAGTCATTTACTCTGTGGGGGCATGGGCGGGGTCACAGGTGCCTTGTCTCTAACAAGAATGGAGCAGCTAGGTCATATCTAGTGTATTATGTGTTTGAAAAACCCTTCAATCAAATCAGGGTCATTCATTCACACAAGAATCGGCATATTAAGGTAAATGTCAGAGTTGCATGGGCACTTCTTGTCTCTAAACCAAACTCCTGGCAAACTGGGGAAACCATTACAGCTCAGTGATATGCAAACCCAGGGCAATGTGTGAGTGGAACAGATATCATTTGGATGGCCGTAAATGACACAACTTACTCTAATGCATTTTATTTCTTAAGAAGATACTAAGATCTGATTATTTTCTTTTAAAAAAGAAAACCTTTATAACTGAGCTTATTTTTCTATTTTATTTCTAATGAAAAGGTTACAGAAATCGTTCCTTAATTTGCAACCTTCATTTTAATTTGATCACAAGAAAAAGATATTAGAAATATAATGTAATTTTGTATAAGTCACATATATATGAAAACAAGCCAACCATATGCATATGATTGGTTGGTTGGTGTTATCACAGGTCCCTTGTCTGTAATAATCCCACCAAACTTTTTGATTGGATGGACTCAGTATCCCTATATAGACACGAGGTTTACATAGAGCTAGTGTGAGCTGAGAACACCCAATTCTAGTAACCTAGGGTGCTTCAGAAGGTCAGGAGACCTTTGAGGTGTTCTTGTCCTACAGGTTCGATTGCAACCACATAAATGCGAACCCCTACTTCCCGCACACTCACACGTAGTTGGTCTTGTCTCTGAGGGGCAGGACCGCAAACAGTCCTCAAAAACTCCCTCTTCTGGGACATCTGCTATTCCTGCCCGGTTGCTGCTCATCTCACCTGAATGACTGCACCGCGTGTAGGAGTGAAAAAGTCCCTCGCACTGGCAGGGTTGCTGACATCTGGCTAGGTTCGGCTCTGCTGTCCTTATTTACAGTCATTTATGAACCAGAAAAATGGTGAACATCAGGCTGTGAAGGCAATACCTACCTAGCAGCAAAATGATGCATGCTAATATGGCAATTAAGGCGCCCATACTGAGTCCAATGGGGAGCACATAAGCTTCAACATTACAAGACTGGACAACACCATCACTGCTGCAGCCACAGACCCGGATGGTCAGGGTGCTGGTGCTGCTCAGCGGAGGATTCCCACTATCACTGATTATGATTGGTAAAAGATAGACTTCTTGCTTCTGGCGGTTGAATCCATTATGCTTTGCCAAAATGCTGAGGGAATTATCTGGAAAAAGTGAAAATTACAATGGTTTGCATCATTTCGAAATGGCTGCCCAAACAACACTTGTTTTTCTAGTTCATAAATCCTCTGCGACCCTCAAAACGACCCCAGCTCCACTGGATCCACCCGGCTCTCTGCCTTTCCCCTCTCCCCAGTTCTCCAAATGGCATGGTGGAAAACCTCCACACCCTAACGGGCTGCATGCCTGGGGAACCATGAGAACACTCCAGGGAGGCGAACCATCCCTTTAGAATGGAAACACATGCTTTTCTAATAATGACCGTCTCCTCGAGTTCTTTCAGGAGATATACTCTATCCCAAGTCCCCAGAAATAAATTAAATTTCTCTCATTTATTCTATGGACACATTGTACAAACTTGAATGGGAAGAATTCCGTTATACTTTTTTAGACATCTTTGAGAATGTGTACTAAAAGTCTGTGACAATGTGACACACAGAAAATGCCATTTTCTTACTCCTGCAGGAGCCTATAAAAGAGGATCAGTCACTCCCAAGAGCATTAACACTGAGAGATACAACTAAAATCCCCTTTAACTGCCAAGTGGAGGTGATAGTCCATGCATATTAGGACCCTGAAGAGAGAGAAACCAATAAGCATTACACAAGGAAAAAGAGAAGTAACAGGAGTGAGTATTCCATGTAGTGCCTGGACATGTATGTATATGTTTTCAAGCTGAAAAATTTTAAACTAATAATTCCCAACCATTACTGCCAAAGATTTGACCATCAGTGGTAGCTATTGATTTCAAAAAGAATCAACTACATGGAGAAACGGTCTATTCAATTGAACCAAATAGATGCGTTAAATGCTACTACATGATGTTATTATACTCGGATTTTTTTTAAAAAGTCATTTCTTAAAATAGATATGTTCATGATATTTATTTTTGCTTTTTAAAGTTATGAATGGATCTTATGACACTCAAACAGAAAAAAAGCACTCTATTTGAGTTACTGTTTTTTTCTACTGTAACTATGATTGTGCCTCATTACATAATAATGCGAAGATAGAACATGTGTTTCTAATATTGTGTAGTAGTAACATACCCTGTGACCCAGTTATGTTACATTTCCATAGCACATGCCAAAAATACAAACAAGTTATTATGCGGGAAACTTTCTGTAAAGTACGATACCTAATATATGATATAGTTAGGTGTTATCAAGCCCATTCTGACTGATAGCAACCCTAAGTACAATAGAAGAAAACACTCAAATGCTTCATAGATTTGAGCCCATGCTTGCACATTATCAATCCATCTTGTTGACGACCTTCATCCTCAGTCCCCCTCTGCTTTAACAAGCATTACGTCCTTCTCCAGGGGCTGGTCTCTCCTGACAACATGTCCAAAGTAGGTGAGACAAACTCTCACCATACTTGCCTCTAAGAAGCATTCTGACTTTACGTCTTACAAGACAGATTTATTTGCTTTTTTGGCAGTCCGTGGTAATTCCAATATTTTTTGCCAGCATCATAATTCAAATGCATTGATTCTCCTATCATCCTTCTTTGTTGTCCAAATTTCATATGCATAGGAGGTGATTGAAAATGCCATCGCCTGGATCAGGCGCATCTTAGTGTTCAAAATAGCATCCCTGCTCTTCAACTCTTTCAAGGGTTGAAGCAGATTTGTGCAGCAGATTGACCCAGCACAATGCATTATTTGATCCGTTGACTGCTGCTTCAAGGAGTATCGATTTTTCAAGTCAAGATCCTTGACAACTTCAATTTTTTCTCCATTTATTATGGGACCGGAGGGACAAGTGGGCAACACATTTGAGTACCTTAAATCAGTACAAGAGCATTTAAGAATGACTTGATATACCATCATCTAAAACAGAAAATGCAAATCATTCTGCAAGATACAATTAATATAATTACAATGAGGCTTTATCTTTTTATGGCTGACTTTATTGATGAGAAACTATCTTTTTATATTTTCACTATCTTAGAGCAGTCTATGATGACAATGTAGAAACAACAGCAAGGATCTTGCTTGCTGCAGAACAAAGCCATCTACTTCAGCATTTAGTAAAGCCTTGGTGAGTCTAACTCCAAACGCATATTTTTCACTACTTCTGACATAAGTCATTCTCCTTGCTACCTGCGGAATATCCATGACTTGTTAAAGTAAGTGTTTGAGTTATTTAAAGCCACTTTACCTTCCACCTCTTGGCAAAAGTCCTTCCCTATTTTGTCAAACACCTCCAATTAAAAACATTTTTATATTATTCTTAAAATAAACATCTGAAGATCTTCATAAGATTAACTAAAATATAGAAGTCCTTGTAGCACTGTTGGTTGGTAGTTGAGACTCATCAGCCACTTCAGGGAAGGATGGGGCTATTTGCTCCCCTAAAGAGCCACCAGGTAGAGTTTCCTTCTGGTAAGGAACTCTAATTGATGATAGCCAACAACCAAGATGTAAAGCTTTAGAAACCCGATGTGGAGTCGTTCTGAGTCTGAAAGGAGTAAAGGTAGTAGATTTATTAACATGTTGTTACGTTCCAGCTTATGCCATGTTCCACATTCATGGTCCACACAAGCACAACGAAGTGTTTTGGAAATTCCATTCTTCTTAAGGTTATCCGTAGTTTGTTATGATCTATACTAGCAAATCACATGATATAGACAATAAAGCACACATAAACATAGTCCTGTTATTCTTTTCTTTCTGCCTAGAGCCATCTGACGTCAGCAATGATACCCCTTGTTCAAAACCCTCTTCTAAATCTGGTTTGAATTTCTAGTGTCTCTTTGTTGATGTACTACAGACACTTGCATAGGGTAGTTTTCAATGATTTCTGTATTCTGTTGGGTCATCTCTTTTTGGAATGGGCACAATAGGGAGTTGGTTGTTAGATGATGTGTTCCACATGTATTGGCATAGATTAGTGAATGCTAGTGTTTGCGTGTTTGTTGAAGCAATTTACTCGTTTTCTCACCAATTCCCGCAGCCTTATTTTTTTGCTGTGAAGCTTAGAATTCTTCCATCAATATCATTGATTTTTGATCAGATGCTATCTCTTGAAATATTTGTACATCAATCAATGCTTTTTGGTACACTGACTCTGTACTCCTTCTATCTGATTTTGATGATTATTGCATTATTCAGTATGTATCCTATATGTCTTTGAATATTGCAACTGGAGGCTTAAACTTTGTCTTTGGTTTTTCAGCTTAAGAAAGTTTGTGCATGCTCTTCCTTTTGGGTGTTCTAAATCAGTCTGCATATTTCCTTGTAAAGTTCTACTTGGTCTTCTCTAGCTGCCCTTTGAGATTTTCTGTTCAGCCCTTGTACGTCCTCAGTTCCTCCATTTGCTTTAGTTACTCTACAGCCAATAGCCAGTTTCAAAATCTTTTCTACTATTCCTATGGGATTTTCTTTCTCTTTTGTCTTTAAAAAAACCTTTGCTTTTTTCATGTCTGATGTTGTTGTCATCTGCCTGAGCTCATCAGTTCTTCTGTCATTAGTGCAAAATGCATCACAATTCTCCTTGAGATGTTCTCTAAATTCATGAGGGACATACTCGTGGTTGTTACAGCTTTCATGGATTTAAATTTCTTCAGCTTCAATCTAAGCAATTGATGGTCTTTTCCACAGTCAGCAACTGGCCTTGATTTGGTTGATAGCATTTAATGCCATTGTCTCTTCTCACAGATATAATCACTATGACTGCTGTGTAGTCCATCCGCATAAATCCACACATATAGGTGCTGTTTATGTTTTGAAAAAAGTACTTTCTATGAAAAAGGCATTGGACTTGCAAGTCTATCATGTGATCTCCAGTTTTGTTTTTATCACCAAGACCACATTTTTTTAAATGATTTTATTGGGGGCTTGTACAATTCTTATCACAATCCATCCATCCATTGTGCCAAGCACTTTAAAAAAATCATTTTATTAGGGGCTCATACAACTCTTATCACAATCCATACACACATCAATTGTGTAAAGTGCATTTGTACATTCATTGCCCTCATCATTCTCAAAACATTTGCT